GAATTCACAGAGAAGCTGATGATGGACTTTCATCATCAGTATCAGCAATCTGAGTGTCATTCATGTTTTGTGAGACTTGTCAGAAGACTTTGAATAAACCCCTGGAGCAGTGAGATAAAACCTTCCTTTTCTTAAAGGAGAATTGCCATGATGCACGTCCAAATTTCTTGATTACAAGACGGAGGGGGGGGAAAAAATAAAACCTTGAATGAAAGCCTGCTCTGAAAGTTTTCAGTTTGCTGATATAACAGTCAAGTGTGTCTATAAGTCTACTTAAAACGCTTAGGTATCAGTGGAGACAGCTGCGACACCCTCGTCTTATGATTCTGTCGAGACAGTACACTATCAAACCTTTCATACCGTTCCCAAGCTACATTTCCGGTGACAAAAGCTTTGCGAAAGCCTCCTGAAGGATTCATCTATATCCTAATATTTCCAATCCAATTTAACTGGAGCAGCCGGAGTGGTCTGAGCACTAGTTTACCAATCTTTGCTTTCCAAGACTCTGTGTGCTGAAGGCTTGAGGGGTTCAATCAATGGTGCTTTGATCTCGGCTGGAACCATAATTATTTAACATTGTTACAAGGATTTCTCTAATCCATCCTACCATTAAATCCCTTTTACACCCTCATCTTCTGCAGCCTAATCTGCATCTGGGTGCTCCGTTTGTCTCTCTTCCTCATTTCGGCTCGCCCCTCCTTCCTTGACGACACCCTGACTTTATAATGGACTTGGGTGCCGAGTTAGAAAATGCCTTGTTTACTGAGAGCAACCTGACTGAACTGCGCTCAAATGGAGCGTCGCTGTTCAAGAACTTCAAAGTTTTTTCAGTGTTTGTGCTGCAGCTTCGGTCAGTTCACTCTCAGTTCGTTTGGGGCCAAATGGTGAAAAGCCTCTGCAACATAAATGCAAAAAATATGAGCAATACTTAATGAACTGTTGATTGCAGACTCTCAGTAACCTAATTGGTACCACCTTCATCTTTGTGTTTCCCCGTTTTCCACTAAATTTCTGTGGATGAACTGAGGGAATTTCAAAGTTCAGGTGACTGATGCCCAAAAGGTTTAATCCCATCTGTTTATTTCCGTGATCACTTTGACTCTCGACAAAAAGGGCCCACCGTCCTTTTGCAAATATTTGCGTGTCTGTGTTTCACCACGATATAAATAGCAGCACGGGCAACCGCAAACATTTGTTGAGGCACCTGCCACAGCACCGTGGCCATCTGGTCCTCCAGTTCTCCTAGCATGACATATGTGCATTAAACCTGAAATGGCTATTGTTTTTTTTTTCTTTTTCTTTTTTCTTTTCTTTTTTTCTTTTTTCTTTTTTGGAGACTGGAAGAAGACGGATCGGCCACAGACCCTTCTGGGTTGGCTGGATTCAAAAATGAGATTCGAGAGTTTTTACATCTGAGTGAAGCTGCGTTTTCAGCTTGTGCATGTTTGATGTCTTGAAAGGGCTGAAAGAAAAGGGGGTTGATGAAACTGGATATCATTTTTCAGGGTGGTGTGTGTGTGTGTGTGTGTGTGTGTGTGTGTGTGTGTGTGTGTGTGTGTGTGTGTGGAGGGGGGCTCTCTTTGCTTGTGCTCCTCCGTCTGTGTCTGACCGTCAGGTAGACTCTCAGATGGCCACTCCTTCAGCTGACCCCTGCCTCGCCCTGGCCGATACCCAACTGGCACCGGGAGCTGAGCAAGCTGGGCGATGCCGGCCGTCAGGGACAGCCAACAGAAGAGATTTGTGGACAAGGTGATCATATCGCTTCAGTTACCGCTCTGTCACACTCAGCTCCTCTTCCTGCATCTCTTCCTTTGCTGTGTGCCTTATTTTAAGTGTATGTGCTGCAATATCTTAGATCCTGATGTCACTGTGTTTTGATGCCAAGGCAGTAACATGCAGCTACTGACATTAGAAGTTAAAGATGAAGCATTTAGCACTTTAAGCATTTACAATGTGGGATCTAGAGTTTTAACACCTTAGCTGCAAACTGACATCTATGTTAGCATCTGTGCTTTTATTATTACAGATATTATTGGCAGAAAGCATGTCATGCTTTATGTTAGTCACAGACAAAGATAAAAATTCAATTCAAAATTCAATAAAGCTTGCATGTTGTTTTAAATCTCTAGTTTTCTGATGAGTTAAAGGGGCACTCTGGCAGCATCATATCGACTTCCTTGAAGTTGGAAAAAGAATGGTCAATGGTCATTCTTTATAACCAGTGTAGTATTCATCGGTGACATAATAAATGTAATCAGCCAAACTTCATCAAATCATCAGACTGGGATCTGTGATGTTTCTATAGTTAAGGGCAAAATCAGTCTCTAATCTTGTTTCAGTAATCACTAGTTTATAACAGCAGATTAATCAATAAATACATAAATAAATATCACACCAAACAAAGTGCTGTTTTACAGACCAGACACTTCTAGTGGAAACTGCCTTGATCACAATTACAGCGCTCTTAACGAACCCTGGATTTTCATGACTTTCATAAGGGGGTGTGGTTTACATGAGCAAGCATTTAGATAAGGCTGAGAACAAGTTCATTAGCAGAGTTAGCTAGCTAACACACACCATTCCCAATTAGCCTAGAGGAGAGCGAGTGGGAGAGAATGAGAGAGAGAGAGAGAGAGACAGAGTCAGATTCCGATCACTGCCAGTCCATGAAAATGAATAGAATAGCATGACACGCTATCTCCCACATCAGCGGCTGATTGCGAAACATCCGTGACGAGAAATGAACATGAGACAGAAGATCAGCGCGCAGATTTGCTTAAGGACATACTTGTGAAGACGAGGGGAGAGAAAGGGAACTCACTGGGTGTTCCACATCAGAGACCCAGCGCTCTGAACAACAGAGAAGAGCCAGCTATCAGATTAATAGTGAGTCATTCAGTGTGGATCTCTGCTGTTCCAGAAAGAAAGACAATCAGAGAACGGGGGGCAATCGCGGACAGCACTTGACATGAGTTACTAAAGTGGAGATGAAATGCAGGGACAAAAAAAAAGTTCAATTACAGGATGTAGATTGTAAAGGCTTTTGTTGTTACTCAGCAAAAGGGAAACGGTATGGAGGTGCTTCAATAGAATCACCAAAGCAGGTGGGCATGTTCCGAGTTAGCCCACCTCATTAAAAGGCTTCACTCTCTTTTTATGTAATGGCCATTACACATCCTATTCAGATGCACACACGCAGTGATTAAAAATTATCTGTTGGTGATCATAATCACACCTGCTTAAACTTAAGCCAAAGAATAACAAAGAACTTTTGAATGCTGAACTATCAGAACATTTACAAAGAGATTAAAGGGGAGACAGTCTCAAACTAAATAAATTTGCTTTTAATCGCTTTGAACAGGAAGTCATGTCATTTCAAATGTTCCTATCTGATTGTCTGATTCCCCTCTTTATTCAAATTATAACATGCCCATCTGACTTTTCCAGCACAATGGGAAAAATTAAAAAGGGAAATGACCTTTCATGGCAGCCATGATGGGAGAGTGAATGGCATTATTATGCGCCAAGATTAATTTCTGCCCACTCTATGCTGCCCATTGAGAAAACAGAGGAGGGGCACGAATGCCTCAGTGTAAGTCACTCACTAATTGGTTGGTGTATCATAGAGATGTCGAGAAACTTGCACGAGTGGTAACATGTTGGTTACGAACATGTGCGTATATTGAAGCGTGTTTCTTTAAGTTGGATGTAGCCCTGCACTGAGCGTCATCTCTCAGTTTGTAATACAGTGGAAATTAGTCCTCAGACTGGATGTCACTTGATAACTTGGAAGCACTCAGGCTGTAGTTTAGTAAAACATGAAATGGACATCATGTCTCACATCACCTCCTCTGCAGTTCAGCCATCCTCAGTGTACGCAAGAGACACTTTACTCCCATAAAACTCAAGTCTCCCTCTCCTCTCTCTCCCTCCGCTGCCTGTCCAGCACTGAGTTTCTGAGCCTCTAATTCTCATTCTGATGGCTAAGTAGAAGGGGGAAGCATAATTACAGTCAGTCATACATCTACTCATGCTACATCCATCCCCCCTTTTCAAAGGAGTATTTTTAAGCTCAGCATTTTCTCGCCCAAAAAGGGCCTTTTTCCGCATGTGATGCCTTCTTTTTGTCATGGCCCCCATAGTTCTGAGCTGACCCCCTCAGCCCTGTCTCCTGACTGATCACAGTGATGGTTTATTACTGTCGTCCCAGCGCTCTTATCTTTAGCCAGCAATGCTCATTTCCTTCCCCAGATTTAAATGCAAATGTGAAATTTAATGATAAATGCATTATCTGATAGGTGCGATAACACTGATTCACTGTCAGTATAAAATACACACCCCGGGGGGCTTCGAGCTAGCAAGCACAACTTGCCCAAATCCACTTTTTTCTCCCTTTCTCTCTCTCTCTCTCTCTCTCTCTCTCGCTTCTTTTTTCTTCTTTTTTTTTTTTCTTTTTTACAAATGCATGTACCTGCAACAAATTCTTGAGGTCATTTTATGCATTAAAAGGAATCGTATTTTGTGTGTTCAGCAGCGTAGGTGCAGGCTATTGCTGAGCAGTAATTGCTGTGCAACAGTCTTGTTCGATGTATTATCCATCACTCTGATGAAGTTATTTTGAGTAAAAGGGCAAAAGAGGATAAAATGTAGCTACATCTGCATCGCATTATGGGATTCTTTAAAAAAAAAAAAAAAAACCTGCCTCTTTGAGCAATCACTTATTGGTAATGTGGTACTGTCAACTGAACGGTGGATGTGCATACAGTTAAAGTTATATTGCATAAAGACTTCTGGCTCATTTGACCCTCTGTAGTTGCCATGCAAGACATAATGTTTCTTACTTTTGAATCTAAAGTGTTTACAAATCTCCTGTTGTTCCTTTTCTATTCAACGCCAAAAGCTATATGTTACCTCAAACTATGCAACGTGCATTGCAGTTTGGTTACAATATCTTTGTCTGATGTGCTGTGTAGGAAAGTGATATGAAGACTTTTTCTTACTTGGACCATCCCATTCATCTGGCCCCACCGCAGTGTGCCTGGTCTTCTCGCCCTGCCCGTCCATCTCCGACTCGCCCGCTTCCCGGTTGCCATCTTCCTCTCCTGCAAAACATAAAGAATTAAGTTCCATAAAGCACACAAGACATGAAATTTTTACAAATTTATTGTTCAAGACACCTAATTTAATTAAGCACCCCACTGTGGAGCTGTGCTGCCCTTCCAAAGGGTAGATTCTGATGGAGTCAGGATATTATCCCAACAAGGATCGTTAAGTTTGACAACTCTTTTCTGTGATAGCTCACTGTGTCGTAATCAGATGTTGTGCAAGCTATTGTGAAAGTGTGTTTTTTTGTGCATATGTCGTTCTGCACATGTGCATTTGCTGTGAGCTCACCAGGTCCAGCTGCACACTTTCATGTAAAAGGCGTTCCCATGAGTGCTCGCAGGAACAGGAGGAAGCCCCATGGAACAGGAAGGAAAGCAATGTGTGGGAGAGAGGTGGCTATTTATTACCGTTTGATCTATTGTGGAGCGAGTTAGAATGTGTGTTATAGGATGTAGGGCTGATTTACAGTCTCGGGGCTCACACAGACCATGCTAAGGGATATTTGGGTATACCTCTCCTGGATATGAGTGTTTAAAGAGCTCGTTAAACAGGCCCCGCCTCTGAGTGTGCAGCTGACAGCAGTGCTTGTTGTGTTCTTAGATGGACTGACTGTAAAAAATAGAATAACATTTTTTTTTTGCATGTCTACAGTAAGCACAGTTTGTACTCAAAGTTTATAGGCACATAAATCAGTGTTTCGTAGGTGCCCCCAGTGTGGTGCTCTAAATAAATCTGCTGTGGCTGACACAGTGGTTGCACAGAGTGTCTCTCCAAACTCGGGCAAACCTGCTCGGGGGGATGTAGTGGTAGTTGATGGTTTGTGGAGGAACATTTCTTTCACTTTTGTCGCCATATCGTTTCCATCCCTTTGATGTTTTAAACCCAATAGTGAACGGTCAAGGACAGGCCTGGATTACTACAATGGATTACTACACTTCATACACTCTACAAGCGAAAAAGTGCTGGATGTGTGGATTTATAATATTTTGGGATGACAAAGACAATATATTTTTAAGTTGTGGCTAAGATACAACATATTAAAAATAAAACACATCATACCTACCACACATACGACAACACATACTGTACATACATGCTGTTGTCATACGGTTGTTTATCACATCTGTGTCGGAACACACACACACACGCACGCACACACACACACACACCCCAGCTCCCAGAACGCATTTCAGAGTGTTAGTTATCACATTTCCAGTGACAACTGCCACGGGACGCACACTACTTCACTCCAGCGCCGTCCGTCCTCAGTTAGGTTAATCTCCAGATCAAGCACACACACCATGCTTGTTTAGCTTTTTTTTTGACATGGCTCACTTCAAAGAAGGTAGCAAACATTGCCAAAAGGATGTCAGCTTTCTGCCTCACTCTAAAAGAGGAGATGTATATGAAGAAAAAAAGTGATACTGAAGGGAAGTCTGCAGAAATGTCCTACTTACAGTACATGAGGTCATTATGACCCAGTTTTGCTTATGCAAGTGTCTGCTTGGGCTGGCGATTTCTCCCCCCACTGCTCCTCTCTCCCAGTATATTATCAGGGAGCCCACTCAACTAAATTCCCCCACTATTTATTGTTGGGCCTGGAGAACCTCTTTAGCATACTAGGCTCGTATTATGACGAGGATAACAAAGGCGTATATCAACAGTTCCTTCCAATGGAGCGGAGTTTAAAAAAAGCTGGCAAGATAACATTAAAGGCACTACCTTGATCTCAGGCGAACATGTTAAGCCCTGTAACGAAACGTATTGGAAGTGTTTAATTACAGCCCGGGAAATGAAGCTACAAGATGATTCCTTAATTAAGCAGTGATTAAGGATTTTCTGCCGTCTATCTAACACAGTTTGCAATGCATTTTAAACACAATCGCCCAGGCAACCTCACAAGGGAACAATGTCACAGGGCTTTGATGAAGTTTCCTGCACAAATGTCACTAGGAAAAAGCAGAGCAGGGGGAAGAAGTGCTGGAGCAGCACTCGTCTGCTCACAGTACAGTCTGAGTCTGATAAAACCTGGAATACAAGGAATATGGAGACCTACTTTTTTTTATGGTTTTATATGACATAGGAATTTTGACCTCTCTGATATAAAAATAAATTGATTGAGGTGTTCCATTCATTTTCATTCACAGAGGTCCACTACAGGAAATAGAGACTGTTTTATCATTTGAATTGAAACCCTCTGCAGTCTTATCAAGGGAGACAGATTGTCAGTGATCATCCTCTACATTATCGTCTAGATCATAATTTACATCTGGCTTAGGATCCTTTCCCCGCGCAATCAAATGGAGATACTTAAGGTTGAGCGAGGGATGGCTGAGGAGAACAGAAGGGACGGGGAGGGACGGGGAGGGCTGGGGAGGCGAGGCGGCCTGCTGGGTGCAGGGTTGGCGGGCATGCAAGAGGAGCCAGTGAGCTGTTAAAATCAGCCCTATCGCTGCTCTATCAAAGGACAGCTCTCTAGCCAAATCGCAGTCACACGCAGCGTGCCACACATTCAGGTCAATAAGCTTATAGGCGATTTACACAAACAATTCCTCCAGCAAGGTAGCAACAAAGTCATATTGGCTTTTTCTCTCCCTTTTAGCATTGTCTCTGCCAAAGAAGCCCTTGAAAATGTCAATCTCTTGTGTGTGTGACTTTAAGGAGCTCTGAGAGCTCTAATCCTGACCACTGAGTCTAGAGACAGGTCGCAATTTCTGCAAAATGGAGTATAAGTAGTTTTAAGTCTTGGTATGGGATTGCACAGTTCTGTATGTTACTGAATTCTAGACTCGATGACTTTAACCCACTGCCACTTTTCTAAACCCATCACAATCTGGCCAGTGTTGGAGTTTGTAATGATTTGCAGAATGTAATATTACGGGGGGGGGGGGGCTGTTGTCCCCCCAGCAGTGGTAGTGCTAGTCAGTTGATATTGCATATTTGGTTGTTGATGCAGATTATGCTGCAACAGATAAAGTCAATTCCAGGAAGCAACCTTTTTCACCAAAGTCAAGCATAGCTGTAAGACTTCTCTGCTATCTGAAAAATAGGTTTGAATTGCATGCAATTTGTGGCAGGCAGAGCACTCCAATGGAGGGAGGCTATTAGTGAAATGCCTTGCCACTGTCTCTTTAAATGCCAATAAATTCCCATCATTACAGAATCTGGCAGTTTTCCTCCCTGTCTGCAGCCTGGGTCTTTATCTCGCTCTGCCTCAGTCTCTGAGCATGTAGATCTGGCCCAGTTAGATTGTCATACTTAACAAACATTAATGATTAATTTCCTCCACTGAGTCAAATGGGGCTAAAGGGATGACTCGATTCATCTTATCGCACCACAAATTAGCATTTCCCCATATTCTCCAGCATCAACTGTGCATTAAAATTCCACATTTACCATTCTGGGCACTGGCAGCTGTGGCGAAAGAGCCAAGGAGATCTTCCTCCTCTGTTGCTGGAGATTCTGATTACTTCTGTGTTACACAAAGAGCGCCATAATTAATTCTGCACTTTCTGTTTGTTACTGTAAGTCTCTGACTGTTGCAGTTCAAATTACCCACTGAGAGGTTATTCCAAGGGGTCAAGGTGGGTTTGTTATTTGCGATGTTGAGTCCTGGGTGTAGAGTCCTGAGCTTTCACTTGTCACTTCCACTGTGATAAAAAAAATTTTTTGCCTACATTATAACTCTGTAATTTGAGAGGAACAGTGCAGGAGAGTGCAAATGTTCACATTTAGTTGCCCTTGATGTTTCCTGTATCCACTCACTAAACGGCATCAGAATCAGGCGGTTTGAGCGGAAAATGTTCATGTAACGTAACTTAACAAAAAGATTGTTTTACATCTAGGAAATGAGACACGTGAAATGACATGTAAATTTACTGTCAGAGCTAACTAAGGAAGTCATTTGTCATCAGACAACACTTGGAACGCAGAAAGGGAACAGCTTGTGGCAACACCCTGTGCTGAACTTCACAGATAGCCAACAATAAAAGAGGGGGTGAAACAGCAAGGTGAAATTTCACAATTTCAGTTAAAAAAAAGAAAGTATATATAAAAAAAGGTATCTTTCCTACAATTATGGAGTCAGGTGTGTCAATAGAGTATAAATCTTAGCTGTGGAGTCAGCGTGTTCGTCTGTGGGCTTTTCACAAGCACAGCTCCATAAACATGAAACTGACCGAGCAGGAGAACTTGTTTGAGGTAAGATTCTGGTTTAATCACAAGGGAGAGTCAAGGTTATTTCTTTAGATAGGTGGCTTTTTTCCCCTCACAAAGCTCTTGGTTGGTACAGGCAGACCCCCCCTCTAATTCCATGTGCATTAAATCAGTGTTACCTCTCTCTGGGGCTCTGCTATTCTACCAAACTGCTTCTTTTCACAGCCATGACACTGAGACATTGTACATTTCTCCTCATTCACTGGGACTATAATAGTTAAAGTCTGCACATTATCTTATTGATAATATTGAGCGGTGGTTCCCAAACTTTGCTCACAACATAAATCTGAAGGGCAGTGGTGGAAGAAGAAATCGGATCCTTCACTTAAGTGAAAGTAGTAAAAGCAAAGTGTGAAAATACTACATATAAAATAATACACAGAGAAGTATCATCATCAAATTATACTCAAGTAACAAAAGTAAAGGCAGTTCTACTGTGTTCTTGATATATCATTGGACTGTTGTAGCTGATACATTGACATTGCAGTTGATGCTGAGGTTGCTTGAGGTGGGGCTGCTTCTAACTGCCTCAACGTGCAGCTTGGTAGTTCAACCTACAACAATACATCACATATCTATTGTTGATGATATGTTTAGGATCCGAAGGTACCGATGCTGTCTAATCAATGTATTGCGGGGAGTAGTGTAATATTTCACTCTGAAATTTAGTGGAGTTGAAGTTTAAAGTAGAATACAATGGAAATACTTCAGTGAAGTGATGTTGAAGCACCTTTAAATATACTTTGTTGCTTCCCATTGCGAAGGGTTTGCGAGATGATTGACAGGAAGGAAAGCAGAAATAACATATTTGTGCTGAACACATTTATTTTTTTATAAGTTCCTGTTTGTGAATTATTGGAGAATTTCCACTTTTTAGGCTTCTAAAAATGATTTTAAAAGAAGCAAAGAAAAACTCTCCTGGGTTTTTTTTTTTGCATGATAAACAATGACTATTGATTCTTTCATTGGTCTGAAGACTCGATCACACTCGCGGTTTGGCGTCTGTGCGCTGACAGGCTCCTGTATGTGATGCCATCATCCATTCACAAACCACATCAATGTGACACCCCAAAAACCAGTGAGAGCCACGACACCATTAACTGAACAGGTTAGAGAGTCAACCATCACCCAGTTTAGAGGTTCCCGAGCCTGAGACCAAGATGGGACATCAAGGTGCTCCATGCACTTATCTGGGGAGTCCCTTTTCTGCAAGGGTAAGGCAAATGGCTGAGTCTTTGGTGGCATTCAACTTCTTGACCTTTGCGCCTTTAAGCGGCTTTGCTACTTCACCGCACTCTGATCAAAGTTAATAAGTGCTTCATATGTTAATGAAAATTGGTACTCCTCTTTGTGTTCCTACAGCTTTTTAATACCTATTATAGACTGAAACTTTTAATGGAGGTTTTAGGTCCCCCTGACAAGCCCATTTCAGAGAGTGACTACACAGATACAAGGCTAAGCTAAGACCAGAGAGTCACTGCTCAGTGGAGGAACCTTACACGGGAGACCGTATTCTCCGGGAAGCAGCAGAAGATAAAGGCCATGGGATGAGTGGCTGCTTTAAAACCCACGTTCAAGTCCGCACAGGGCTAATTACAGCACGCCATCACATTTGAGAGGGTTTAGTTAATCAAGGGGCTCTCTTTTTCTTCCTATAGTCGAGGAATAACACACTTAAACCATTTAATGCCGCCAGGATTGCGTCCTGTTTAATTCACAGCAGTTTCACATAAGTGGGGTAAATTTAAGCCACTCCGACATTAGTTTTAAATAGATCTAATTGAGGAAGGGATCATGGGGAAAATGACTACACCTGATGATTGCGCACAACTCGCCATGAGGAAAAAAGAAATTTGGATAGTACATCATTTAGGTCTTAGGAGGCAATGGGAGACTTAGCTACTGTAAGCTTAGATAGCAGAGCAATAAAAAAAAATCTGACTTAGCTTGTGTATGGAAAAGAACAGATTACTAGTGTCCCCTAAAAGTAGTATTTGACATTTGGGATTGCTATTTAGTGTTGACTTTATTCATAAACATGGGGAACGGAGGGGAGATTTGAGGCCCAGTCCCTCACAAGGTTTTATCCAAAACAATAGGAATATCAAACGGCTCTGACAGGGTGCTTTGAAGATTTTCAGAAGTTGTACTTTTTTTTTTTTCTCCCCTTGCTGTAACCACCAATATGTACTGCACCATCTATTTCATAGCTACTGGGTTATTACAAGACCATACATTGTACTTTGAAGTTTGAGTAAGGACACATTACGAGGGAGACAAAGGGTAAAGCAAACGAGGCGTCGCTGGTAATTGCAATTTCCGAACAATTGTGCCGTTCAACTTTTTCCGGAGAACAAAAGGAAAACATTATTGATACGATTACCGGGGCATAGCCTACCTGAAACATGAAAGATTTATTTTTCTTCAATAATGTAATCCCACGAGGCACATCAGTTTAGAAGTGTGAAGAAATAATTCTAAACAATTTTCCCTTTGAAAGGAGAGAGAAGAGGCAGACATTCAAAGCATAGGTTCTTCATTAAAAAGTCAAATTTATGGCATCCGTGTGCCTGTAAGAGTGGGGACACCTGGGGTAGTGAAAGCCACGCAACCGGGGGGTACGAAGAGGTGGGGGTGAGCGGGGTGGGGTGGGGGTGGGGGTGGGGGGCGGGACAAGTCTGTCATCTTCACACTGTAACCTGGAGCAGACCACAAATTAGCTCCTGTGATGGCAAGGTGTGACCGAAATGAAACAAACATACAAAGAAGCAATCTAATTGAATTGGAGTTCAAAGAGGATTCGGGCGCATTTGGCGACGCTTTATAGTGCTGGACCTCCGAGCAGTAGCAGGTGCTGCTGAGTGTTCACAGAGCTTCAGCGCCGGCTCAAAGGGAAGTGCTACGCTCTCCAGTGCATTGGTGTACCGTAGCACACCTTCACAGCACTATCACAGAGGGAGAGCCAGTGTTGCCGATGCCATCTCCCTCTCAGATCAAACCACTGCTCTTGGGTGGATTGCTGGGATCAAATATCAAAATGGATAGTTTCAACTCAAGGCAGTGATGCGGGAGAAATTCTGATACGGACACAAGTTCTGCCAGGTTTGATTTGAACATGTTGAGGAATTTTATTAGACGCCATTGGCAGGAGTTTAACTTATTTTTGATGCTTGGCATAAGGGTTGCTTAACATATTGTCTCATATTAGGTATTAAACAGAGCAGTGTACACTGCTTGAGGAAAAAGCGGCTTGTGGAGTTTCATAAGTAAACGATCCTCACCTTTGTTGCAGAAGTACTCCATGTCTTCGCAGCTCATGTTCTCCGTCTCAAACTCGGCGGTGAAGTTCTCCTCCACCGAGAACTCGTCTTTGGCCAAGAGCTCGTTCTCCTCGGAGACGCACTCCTCCTCTTCTTCCTCCAGGCCATCCTCCAGAGGACCTGAGGGAACACACACACACACACACACACACATATATATATACATACAAAGACACACGCACACACACACACGCACACACACAAGGGAGATAAGTTGCAGTTTCATCACACGCTTCAGGCTTTCATGGAAAAAAAAAGGAAAAAAACTTCTGCCTCTCCTTGTTTCTTTTGTTGCAATACTACAAATGCAGACGCTATTCAGAGCGCAGCACTGTGCTGGCTACACACTCCCTGTTCAGACATTCAGTATAGACAAATATAAAGCCGTGTCAATGAAGAATATTATTTTCGCCTAATATTTCACAAAAGTCCTTCCGTTATAGCTGCTGAAAACGCCCTTTGAGACTGTGTGCTTTCTGACATGCAGCCAAGGTGAGCATTGATGTTAATCCCGCTACCTGCAAAACAAAACCTCACACAGATGGAGGGAGGGGGAAAAAAAAAAAAAAAAAGTTCCTTTCCAGACTTTTCATACAGGCATCAGCATGGGAGGAGGAAAGAAAATACTTTTATTAATTTGTTAGCCTTATCACAGGGTACAATGTTGATTTTCCATTTACATTCCATGCCTCCGGGTAATACACCAGTGCAATCTTAAAGGAGACACTTTTCCGTGTGATTAATTTTTCCCCCCTCTGTGCAATATTATTTCTTTAAATCTAAATGATTTCAGAGTTTTGCTTGTAGCTGTACATCTCTTTTGGTATTTGCATATTACCATTTTTGCTTCAATCAAGGGCGTTGATGGAATTACTGTACTGCTATCTGAATTGTATTAGTTCTGAAAAACATCTCACCCGGCGTTTGAATGTTATTAAGATAATGTGCATCTTGCACACCTCTCCTTCCCACCAAAACATGTCTCCAATGTCAGCACACGAATTACCATCGCAAAGAAGTGATGGAGCACTTCAAGTTTAAGGTGTGTTTATATTTGAAACAATACACTCCCAGCTAAAAAAAAAACCCGCGTCATTTTCATAACACAATCGAGTACATAAAAAGGAAAAAAAACCTGCTGTGTTTAAACTGAATAATCATATCAAAAGTGCTGCCATCACCGCCTGTGAGATGTGGATGCTGTCTCCGTCTCTGCCTGTCACACATGAGCTATGTTGCAGCCTCCTGCGCATCATCCTGGAGCTCAAACAGAGTGCGCTGATATCCTCTCGACACCTTTCAGTGTGTTTGTTCTATTGTAGAGGGAGTGAGCCCCTCAGCTTTAATAAAGCAATAATTTCAGTTCAGAAAGTGGGGCTGGTGTGCCTCTCCTGTTTCTCTTTCTTCCCGCACCGAGCCTCATAAAAGACCCCCCTGATGTCCACAAACTGCTTGCTCTTTTCATTAGTCTTATAAATTACTCCTTTGTAGAAGCCTACATCTGCAGGAGCCACGGACATGAAAAGAATTAGCACACAGATCTCTAATAGACACTGTGGCGGCAGAGTGCTGCTTTTAAATTAGGATACAGTTTTATGATCTTATCTGATGCCTTCTGCTGATTTGCTGAGGAGTGAAGTGAGGCGTGAAGTGACTCGATGAGTCTACCATCGCTTAAGATGATACCGGGAGATAAATATCGCAGTATCAAGGGGAGATTGTATGACTGGCGTTAAAAGCTCCTGCCAAGGCAATTGAAGACAGTGTGAAAGAAAGCGAGGAAATACATTTCTATACACACACACTCTGTACACATTCCATTACACAGCTGAATAAGAACTGTGTGTACAACTAAACGATTCTTCCTCTGTTGCCGGCAAATACAGCGAGCACTGTTGCACCATAGAAAATAGACCTACAGTGTTGTGCGATAATAAGGGTAAAGGGAGATTAAAGATAAACTTCATGGTCAATAAGACACAAAGATTAGGTAGATAAGATGAGATAGAAGTGAGGTTTAATAGACTCAGAATAAGGGCATCTCACTTCCCCGCTCTAACAGATAGTAACTAAATGGAGCGTTTTCAAACTGATAGAGATACTGGAGGCCTCGCTGAATATGGAAAAATGAAATACTCCACCCAGTCGGAGACATTAAAGGGGGTCTGATGGCTACTTCTTGGGGAAGCCGCGTAGATTACCAAAGTTTGTTCGCATTCTCACATGTTTAGTTTATTATACAGTATTCATTGCATGGAGAGACCTGAAATTATTTCAGAGACAGCAATGATAAGAATAATGACTTTCTAAACGACCAGCACCACACTCCTAACTCATTTTCTGATAGTGGCGTTCCTGCTATATTTAGTTGTGTACTGTTTAAAATCCTGTCACATTCACTGTGTGACCCGCGCTTGTTGGTGCATTTCTATAGGGTCTGCTGACGAATTGGGCCAGAGGAATGTCTGCTGCTTCACCCTCTTATCAAGCCTCCTCTGGAGTTTAGATGGCCAATGACACCGCGGAGAGAGCGTCCGCGCTGCACTTCACCACAGAGCAGGCCACTGGAAACGAGCGCCCTCATTACAGCAGACACAAAGATCTGTAAAAAAAAAACCAAGGAGCTTGAAACGGGAGGTGATCCTGGAAGTGACAACACAGCACAAACACTGTGTTTGGAAAGCTCATTGGAAATCTTTTGGGAATCGATGTGGTGGTTTTTTTTTTTTTTTTTCTTCGTGTTTTTTTTGTCTGGTAATCTGAGACGACTGCTCTGATCCAAGTGGGCGTCTCAAACTTTTATGGTGTTTACAGAAGGAAAAGAAAAGAAACACCATCAGCTGCTGATTTTTCTTTTTAAAGTCTGAAATATTTGCTCTTTGAGCATAATCCTCCTCTATTCTTCTAAAATCCTGTTCCTAAACATGTCAGCCTCGCAAAAACACAATCACTGAGTCTACATTTGACAGAAAATTTATTTTGATTGATTGACTGATTAATCGAGCAAACAGCCACTGGTTCCAGCCTCTCAAATGTCATGATTTGCTACTTTTTGTGTTTTATATCATTTAAAACTGAACAACGTAACTTGTGTGTTTTGTCTGAACAAAACACAAACAAGTTACGTCGCGTTGTCAGAACTTGTGACAGGCATTTTCACTATTTGTCTGTCACTGAATGGACTGTTTCCAATCTGGAGGTTAGGGTTTAAGAATAAAAAATAGAAATAATAATTATAATAAATAAATAGAATAAAATAAAGTAAACATATATTACACACAATTGTGTTTCACTAGAATTTTTTTTTGCTTTTTTCTTGGTGATATCCTGGATAATTTTACATACTAAGGCCTGTAAAAGTCCTTGAAATGAAACAATATGAAAAAGAAAATCTGATTAAACCGCTCATGTGCTTCATTAAGGCCAGAACCGGTGATGAAGATTTCATATCTCAGAGGTCATAATCATTAGATTAATAAAGAGAATGATCAGTAGTTGCAGCCCTACAGTAATCAGCCGTAACCTTAAGCCTGACAGACAGTCCTGTGTTAATTCATGAGCTTCACTTTCTAGAGAGGCTTGGTTGGACAAAATCATCCCAGCACAAAGACTCATATCTGCTCACTTTTATGAAGATGTTTAAGGAAACTGCACCCGCTCTGAACTTCCTCTCAGTCATGGTCAGTGTCCAGGTATCCCTGCACCACCACCACCACCACCCCACACACACAGCTGTATCATCCACTCCCTCCACCCTGAACTGTATCATCCACATTCATCAGACTCTTCCTCTGCTGACTAGCGAGAGAAATCTCAGCCCTGTTCAAACAGTCGTGCAGCAGGAGCAGCAGGCAGGAGCAGCCAATGCTAATAGAGACATTGGTAGCTGAATGCAGGCTTGATCACAGTGGCTCTTTTGTTCATGGCATGGCCTCTGTCTGATAGGGATCGGCCATGCGGAGTGGAGCTCCGGAGAGGGATATGGTAATGCCCCCACCGAGTCTATAAAATGGGGTGATACTCTGAGACCATATGATGGACAGAGGATTAATGAGTCACAGAGGAAGGGGAATAGGGGAAGAGAGGAGTACGGACAGAGGTGGTGGAATATCTTTCAGGAAAACACACAAGTCTGTGCCTCAGTGGACTGAAACAGAAAATGGAAAAAACACACAGATGTGCCAACCTTGCCTTGGAAACTCACATTTAAAAAAAAAAAAAAAAAGAAAAAAGAAAAAAGGAAGAGCTATAAACAAACGTGTGTGTGTGTGTGAGTGTGTGTGTGTGTGTGTGTGTGTGTTTATGTATGTGTTTGTGTGTGTGTGTGTGCGCGCAAAAACTGTATGAGTGACTGCTAATTTCATGGCATGCTTTTTCAGCCGTCCGCAATGTGGGGAGCTTGTGGCCGGGCTGTGATAGCGATACCTCACATTATCAGCAGGCTCCACAGTGTGATGTGTGGATCACAAACCCAGCCTCCTCTATAGCTCCCTAATTAGAGGTGAGGTAATTGAATCTGACAGAACAAAGCGGCAGATCTCTATAAGCATGGAAATCATTTTTGCTCCCACCTATACAGTTTTTCATCCAAAAGGTCCATTGAAAATGTGTCCAAGCTGGCCTGGGGATAAAACGTAGCACCTGAGACTAAACATGAATGCATAATGCAGCCCTAAAATCCAACAGGGCCACACCGCTCAACCCCTGCCAAAACTCTGCTCCCTGTAACTGGCCCTTTGTGCCAACGCTGATACTGGGCCTTCCTCACTTCCAGGTGAACACACACATACTCTGCAGGACTCTTCAAACTTCTGCGGGGGAGGGAATATAGAAATACAGACTCTGTCTCAAGCCGCTGTGAGCCAGGTCGGCTTAGATACACATTCATATGTGTTTACCCCCACAGCTGGAGAAGAAAAAAGAAAATGCCTGCTCTCTGACAACAAAGTGTGGACATAGAAAGAAACAATTTCATCTCATCTCGCAGGAAAGGTTGGGAAGTGAGAGAGAGAGAGAGAGAAGAGAAAGAGAGGGAGGGAGGAGAGAGTGGAGAGAGGCGAGGAGAGACTGGGGGCCATACTCTCTCCTTAGCTCTAATGACCTTTGGGAAGCAGAGGGCT